AGGTGTCCCCAAAACCCAGGTGACAGCTCAGTTAATACATTTATCACTATTCCGGTCACCCAAGTTGAAACCGTGGATCATCTTTAACCCATTCCTCCCCTTTCTCCATCCCTGCTCCCCATCTCCACTACTTCATTGGACTGGTCACCAAACCTTAACCTATAGAAGTATCTTATAAGAGGTGGTATCAGGTAAATGAGTTACCAGGTAAAATGAGTGCACTATCTCTTTCAGTTCATCTGTGAAACAAAGACCAACCTCTCTGGTTATGTTAAGGGTTAAATAAGATGATAACAAACCCAGAATATAAAACATCTGATATTAGTACATATTAGGTGCTCAGTATACAGTTCTCCCGCATACCTTCCTGTAAGCTACAATCATCCTAGACAAGTGTCTTCATCCTACTATGGAATGAATGGTTAAATAACAGAACACAAGGATATGGAATCCACAAAATGAAATTTTTTGTTACAGCTCTACAGTAAACTGGCTGTGTTGTTGGTCAAATAACCTTGCTGAACTGGTACGTAAACTTGAAACTTACCTATTTCACAGAGACACTGAAGATCAAATGGCAAGACTTCATTAAACTACAATAATGTCCTGCTAAAGGCCACCTCCAACAGCTCTCTGATCACTAAGATGGCACTTATGCCAACTGAGAAGGATGAGAAACAGCCCTAAGTTCTGAAATTGAATACTAGTGCAACCCCATCCCTCATTTGGCCCTATTACCCTGGTAGTTACCAAGACATTCAAAGCTTTGGCTTCTACTGAGGAAAGTAACATCTGATCAAGGTGCAGCATGTATTAAGACTTGAGGAGGAAACATCTGAAGCACTTTATAAACTGTAACATGCTAGAGAACTGGGGGAGGAATCATCAGCATTTCTATCTTCTTGGGTTTCTATTAACAGGCTTAATGCTCGGCTGAACAGTTTCTTTCAATCTCATCAGAAGTCCCACCTCTCTTATAAAACCTTCACTTCCCAACTATCATTTCTATTTCCTTCTTTACAATGGGCTCTATCAAATAAGTGCCCTTACAGAGTTTTCTGTTACTTCCTGGGTTTTCTCTCTTTAACTGCAAGTGTCACAAGGAGAGAGAAACCATTACTTAAACACCCGTATCACCCATACCTGTGGCAACTAAGTGTAAACTACATTCAGCCAACAGCTGCTTACTGTTACAGTCACTGAATGAGTACTGACAGTGCTTCCGACATACAATAAACTTAACCTGAAAGGTACCAAATTAAATTCAAATGAAATTTTTTTTTTTAATTGGATTTTAGGTTTTGGGGTACATGACCAGAGCATGCAAGACAGTTGCGTAGGAACACACATGGCAGTGTGCTTTTCTTTCCTTCTCCCCTTCACCCACATTTGGCATTTCTCCCCAGGCTATCCCTCCCCACCTCCCCCTCCCACTGGCCCTCCCCTTTTCCCCCCAATAGACCCCAGTGTTTAGTACTCCCCTTTCTGTGTCCATGTGTTCTCATTTTTCATCACCCGACTATGAGTGAGAATATGCGGTGTTTCATTTCTGTTCTTGTGTCAGTTTGCTGAGGATGACGTTCTCCAGATTCATCCATGTCCCTACAAACGACACGAACTCATCATTTCTGATTGCTGCATAATATTCCATGGTGTATATGTGCCACATTTTTCCAATCCAGTCTATTATCAATGGGCATTTTGGTTGATTCCAGGTCTTCGCTATTGTAAACAGTGCTGCAATGAACATTCGTGTACATGTGTCCTTGTAGTAGAACGATTTATAGTCTTTTGGATATATACCCAGTAATGGGATTGCTGGGTCAGATGGAATTTCTATTTCTAAGGCCTTGAGGAATCGCCACACTGTCTTCCACAATGCTTGAACTAATTTACACTCCCACCAACAGTGTAAAAGTGTTCTTTTTTCTCCACATCCTCTCCAGCATCTGTTGTCTCCAGATTTTTTAATGATCGCCATTCTAACTGGCGTGAGATGGCATCTCAATGTGGTTTTGATTTGCATCTCTCTGATGATCAGTGACGATGAGCATTTTTTCATATGATTGTTGGCCTCATATATGTCTTCTTTCGTAAAATGTCTGTTCATATCCTTTGCCCACTTTTGAATGGGCTTGTTTGTTTTTTTCCTGTAAATCCGTTTGAGTTCTTTGTAAATTCTGGATATCAGCCCTTTGTCAGATGGGTAGACTGCGAAAATTTTTTCCCATTCTGTTGGTTGCCGATCCACTCTAGTGACTGTTTCTTTTGCCATGCAGAAGCTGTGGAGTTTCATTAGGTCCCATTTGTCTATTTTGGCTTTTGTTGCCAATGCTTTTGGTGTTTTGTTCATGAAGTCCTTGCCTACTCCTATGTCCTGGATAGTTTTGCCTAGATGTCCTTCTAGGGTTTTTATCGTGCCAGGTCTTATGTTTAAGTCTTTAATCCATCCGGAGTTAATTTTAGTGTAAGGTGTCAGGAAGGGGTCCAGTTTCTGCTTTCTGCACATGGCTAGCCAGTTTTCCCAACACCATTTGTTAAACATGGAATCCTTTCCCCATTGCTTGTTTTTGTCAGGTTTATCAAAGATTGTACAGTTGTAGATATGTTGTGTTGCCTCCGGTGCCTCTGTTTTGTTCCATTGGTCTATATCTCTGTTTTGGTACCAGTACCATGCTGTTTTGATTACTGTAGCCTTGTAGTATAGTTTGAAATCCAGTAGTGTGATGCCCCCCGCTGTGTTCTTTTTGCTTAGAATTGACTTGGCTATGCGGGCTCTCTTTTGGTTCCATATGAAGTTCATGGTGGTTTTTTTCCAGTTCTGTGAAGAAAGTCAATGGTAGCTTGATGGGGATAGCGTTGATTCTGTAAATTACTTTGGGCAGTATAGCCATTTTCACGATATTAATTCTTCCTAACCATGAACATGGAATGTTTCTCCATCTGTTTGTGTCCTCTCTGATTTCGTTGAGCAGTGGTTTGTAGTTCTCCTTGAAGAGGTCCCTTACGTTCCTTGTGAGTTGTATTTCAAGGTATTTTATTCTTTTTGTAGCAATTGTGAATGGCAGTTCGTTCTTGATTTGCCTTTCTTTAAGTCTGTTATTGGTGTAGACGAATGCTTGTGATTTTTGCACACTGATTTTATATCCTGAGACTTTGCTGAAGTTGCTTATCAGTTTCAGGAGTTTTTGGGCTGAGGTTTTGAAATTCAACAGCCCTTTATGCTAAAAACCCTCAATAAACTCGGTATCGATGGAACGTATCTCAAAGTAATAAAAGCTATTTATGACAAACCAACAGCCAATATCATACTGAATGGGCAAAAACTGGAAGCATTCCCTTTGGAATCTGGCACTAGACAAGGATGCCCTCTTTCACCACTCCTATTCAATATAGTTCTGGAAGTTCTAGCCAGAGCAATCAGGCAAGAAAAAGAAATAAAGGGTATTCAAATAGGAAAGGAGGAAGCCAAATTGTCTCTATTTGCAGAAGACATGATAGTATACAAATGAAATTTTAATAATCACTACAGTGACCGTCTTTGGCCACCGCCACACCCACTGATCAACACAAGGCCTCAAAAACATTAAACGTCGAGTCAGGGGGATATTTCTGAACAGAAACAGGAAGTCTTGGCTATAGCCGGGCCTGGAGCAAGGAGACACTTTTCCGCCAGCCTTCCTTTCAGGAAAACTAACACTTTTCCTCCAACATTTTGTAATAATTACTTTTTAATAAACGGCGAAGACAAACTAGCAATTTCCAGCACCAACCTTCAACTGTTAAGGAAGAGAGTTTCACAACTTCCTAAAACAGAGAGGGGCGTGGGACTCATTACCTATTTACTTTGACTTCATTAATTTAATGTAAATTTCCTTCAAAATAATGAAGCTGAGGAGAAAGCCGAACAAGCCCTGATTCAGACTCGACACCCCAGAATTCCTCTAGTTCACATTTTAAGGAACCTGCTTTAGCGAGAAGTGGGTGGCCCCATGCGATGAGGCACTTTCAGAGCCAGGAGCAGCCGCGGTCCCCGCCAGGGCTGCGACCACCGGCGCTCGAACTCAGAAGCCGCTCAACAAGTTCCCCGCCGGCTTCAGCTCCGCACCCCCACCGCGCCAGGCTCTCCGCGGAATTTCCTTCCGCACCTCAAGACTGCGCTTCATTTTCACACGCGGAAACGCCTCCTCCCGCGGCTCACCTCCGCAGTCCCCCAGCGCGCCCGCGACACTCCCCACAGTCCCTCCGCCAGCTACCCCTCGCCCCAGCTCGGCCCCCGTCCCTCCCCAACCCCGAACCGCCCCGCGCCCCGAACTCTCCGCGCCTGTGCCGCGCCCAAGGACCCCCTCACGCACCCACCCCGTGCTGGGCCCCTCGGATCCTCAGTCCTCGCGGCGGGGAGAGGGTGCGGACGGTGTACAAAGGTCACCCCGAGCTCGCGGAGGCGACCCGCGCGGGAAACGCGCTCGCCCGCACGGTGGGGGCGGGGTGCGAGAACGGAAGGAACGACGGAAGGCGCGGACTGGGGCCGGGAGCCTCCCCGCCACCAAGGTCCCGCACCTCCCAGCTCCGCGACGCGCGCAGGGCTGCCGGGCTGCGGCTCCCCGTCGCTCCACAGTCCGCGCTCTCTGGGAAAGTCCTCCGGGGCGCCTCGGAACTGCCCAGCCGCCAGCATGGGGGCCGCGCCTCCGGCAGCACCCGGTCCCCGGTACCTACCTCCAAGAGCAGTCCGAGCAGCAGCGCCGCCACCGTCGCAGGCTGTCGCCTCATGGCTCCTCGCGTCCTCTCCGGAGCGCCTGTACGCTGGGTCGCAGACGTGGTTCGCCCCTGCGCGGGGCGGACCGGCGGACTGGAGCCGGTAGCCGGCAAGCGCTGGGATCCCGGCGGGGAGCGGGCGTGAGCCCGGGCGCGCCGCGCAGCCCTCGCCGCGCTCCGCCCCCGGCCGCCGCTCGCTCCCGACACGCAAGGCGCGTGCCCCGCGGGCTCTGGGAACCGGAGGCTCGGCCTCGGGCGCGGCTGCGGGGCTCAAGGCCCGCAACACCAGCGTGCGCGCCTCCGGGGCGGGAGGAGGTGCTGCACCGGCCCGCGAATGGGAGGGGGCTGCCAGGCTCTCCCTCCCCGAGGGAGGTCGTCCCGTCGCCCTTGAATAGACCCAGGAAGGCTTTTAAAAGAAGCAGAGTCTCCGCGGGAGGAAGCTGTTTCCCTGGGAGGTGGCCCCAGACGAACCCAGTGCTCAGTCTGGCATCCCGAAGCCGCTGCGCTCCTGGCTCTCCCCGCCGTTCCTGCGCGCCGCGGGGGCGGTGCCCCAACACCCACGCGTGATGGGAAGGCCGGCTGGGGGTGGGAAAGTCCACCGAAAAAGAAGGTCCCCACATCTCGCCGCTCCCTTGGATGTGGCTATTTTTTATGCCAGTGTCCTTCTACGCTGACCCTACTTGAACTTGACCGCAACCTGCCCCGCCTTGCAGGGCACCCTCCAGCCGCAGACAGCTGTGCTGAGCTCGCGCTGTCCTCGCCTCCGCTGACCCCGCCTCCATGTCGTCGCAGACACCCTTTTTTCACAACACAGCTCAGGTCCCACCTCATTCATGAGGTTATTCGGCAAACACTATCGAACTTGTAAGATGTGGCAGATCCTGAGCTGAAGACTCAAAGGAGGACAGGAAAACTGCTAATGTAGCCTAGAGGGAGAGAGAGTCACTTAAACCACCTGATGCAGAATGCTGAGTGTGGAGACCAGGAGGTAGATGCATCACAGGGGGGCACAAAGGACGTGAGCTGCGCAGCACAGGAGGCAGAAGGAGGAGGACACACAAACAGATGTTACCCGAGGTAAGTCCCCAACGTTTTCCCAGCTTTCAAAGCCTCATTTGATTAATATAGAGCATGCACCATCTGACTATACCTGTCAGAGCCAGAACTTGTAAGTAAGGAAGAAATGATGCCTGTGGCCTTCAGTCATGCGACGACACTTGTCCAACAAGCCTGTCAAAGGTCATTGAACTCTAGTAGTTTTAATTTACTATTTACAATGAGGATATTTTACAACTCTTTTTAGGGGAAAAGTTAACTTGTAGTAAACTAAGCTGAGACCTTGTGGTGTGTGAGAGAGACAAATCTTGTTTCTCCAGTGGTGACAGAAGAGATCTCATCCAGTAAAAATGCAAATGGGCCAGGAAGGGTGGCTCATGCCTATCATCCCAGCAGTCTGGTAAGCTGAGGTGTGAGATGCTTGAGCCCAGGAGTTTGCCAACACCAGCCTGGGCAATATAGCAAGACCCTGTCTTGCTCTGTCACCCAGGCTGGAGTGCAGCGGTGCGATCTCAGCTCACGGCAACCTCCACCCGCCAGGTTCAAGCAATTCTTCTGCCTCAACCTCCCGAGTAACTGGGATTACAGGTGCCTGCCACAATGCCTGGCTAATTTTTGTATTTTCAGTAGAGACAGGGTTTTGCCTTGTTGGCCAGGCTGGCTTTGATCTCCTGACAGGTGATCCATATGCCTCGGCCTCCCAAGGTGCTGAGATTACAGACGTGAGTCACCAAGCCTGGCTGGAGTATCTATTTTATTTTATTTTATTGATATGGAGTCTCACTCCGTTGCCTAGGCTGGAGTGCAGTGGCACGATCTCAGCTCACTACAACTTCCGCCTCCTAGGTTCAAGCAGTTCTCCTGCCTCAACCTCCCGAGTAACTGGGATACAGGTACCTGCCACCATGCCTGGCTAATTTTTGTATTTTTAGTAGAGATGGGGTTTCACCATATTGGCCAGGCTAGTCTCAAACATCTGACCTCATGATCTGCCCACCTCAGCCTCCCAAAGTGCTGGGATTACAGATGTGAGCCACCGCCCAGAATATCTATTTTTAAATGGAACCGCATTTTCATAGTACACAGTGAGGGGAAGTTGCTTTGAAATCTTTATCCTGATAAATCAAATTATATGAAAATTTGCCTTTATTAATATATATAAAACGAAGTTTAATTACTGTTATAATTGCAAATATGTATAAATTCCTTACCCCAAAACAATGAATCAAGTGGGGGACACAATGATTTTCCAACAGAATGAAATAACATGCCTGACTTCATACTGTCATTTTTGCAGAGTCATGGAGGCCTCATCAGTGTCAGCAGGAGTCCCTTACCTTCCGACACTCAAATCCTTCTCTCCTGCAGCCCCATCCTACCACTGTCCTTGTCCAGCTTCTCTTCAAGGGTCAACCGGTCTACCTTTCCTTACAAGCTTGTTTATCACAGCGTCCTGTTAGCAATCCCTATGGTTGCCCAAAAGCATTTTCAGAGGCTGCATAAGACTCTGGATCTTGTAGAAAATTTGCAGTTTCATTCTGCACTCCCTCTGCGGAGTGTTCCCATTGCATTGCGTTCAGCAGGCAGGGAGAAGACTGCAGACATAAGGTCCGTTCACGAGTGACTGCTTTCTCTCTCCGACTATTGTGTGTCTGTAGGAGGTAGTGGGGTGGACAGTAAGGAGGCCTCCTGTGTGTTCCACTGCCTGTGAAGCCTCTGTGCTTGGTTTATGAGCTAAGCTCAAAGGCACTGCAGGGGTAAGACTGTACTACACGGCACCATGGAGAACAGGGAGCGCCCAGACCCCCAAATTAAGAAGAGCAGTGTAGAGATCAGAGACCTGGAAACCAGAGAGAAACTGTTAGGACCAGATGATTGTGTCAACCCAGGGCTCCCCAGGACTCTCACATATTGAAATGTACTTGTCCATCTTTCCACAGGCCAGGAAATGGGAGTCTCAAAGCCACATTATTCGTCCTGTAATCAAAGTAACGATGGCAGCGTGTCCCACCAGAGCGGGAGCCCAGCTGCTCAGGAGTCATGCTTAGGACGGATCCCATCTCTTCTGCATGTTAGAGTTTCAGCTGGGTCAGGCTGGATGCAGGCACCCCCATGACTGGCCTTCTGCATCTGTGATCCTCACGGCCTCCTCCTGCCACTGAGTCTCACGCCTTCACCTGTCTGTTCCTCCCATCCTGAGTCTCATGCCTTCACCCGTCTGTTCCTCCTGCGTTTACTTTCTGCCACCCTTGCACGTGGGCCACCAGATTCTCAAGAGTCTCCTGCCTGTTTCCTTCCTTCCACTCCCTTTGCCAGTGCCGCTCGTCCCATCTAGTAGCTTAACCACCACCCCCATGACTGACCTCTTCCTCCTCGCCGCCAGATGGTTGTTCAGAGTGCACACAGACTGTCGGAAACCTGCAGAGACTCCATGCTGCCAGTCTTCTCCATAATCAGCGTGGCCCCGGTCCATGACTCTAGCCTTGGCTCCTTCTGCCTCTCTTTCTATTTGAAATTCTAGAGCCAGCTGTGGGACAATTATCTGTGTCAAAAGCCAGATGTGAAAACATTTCAGTAACAAACTGGCTGCTTTGTTCAGTGCTAGAACAATGCCTATCAGAGTAGACACTCAAAATTATTTGCTGAGTGAATGAATAAATGAATAAATTCATAATAAATAATTAACCATCCAAGATTCAGACACATTGTGATTTTAATTATTTAAGAGTAGTTTAGCATATATTTCCTTATGATTTACTTTAAAACTCTCCAAGAAATATGCCAAAGAAGTAGAATGAGAAAAATGTATATTTCTTTCACTTTCTGCAGATGCATTGGGCCAGGTCCTGAAGGCTGTGCAATGGATAGGTAAGTGTTCACAGCTCTGTGTCAGATGGACCTCGTCAAGAATGACCACACTGCTGTGGGTGAAGATGATGCTGTCCTGCGTTTCTGACTGTCCTCTGTCCTGGTCAAATTTCTATGGCTACCCTCAGCCAGGGTTTCTGCAGAGACTACCCAATGGTTCCATGTGGCTCCGCATGCCAACGTGGTCATCAGTGGAGAGAAGGCAGAACGCGCCCTGCCGTGGCTTGATACATGGCCTGCCTCCGACTTCCTTGGTTCCACTGGTTTTGTGGGGTCCTTCTCTGCTTCTAGCTCCTCTTCTTTTCTGCCCACTCACCCGGCAGGCCCCATCACAAGCCTGTGTGTGAGTGGCCTTGCTGTTCGATGACACCCTCCAGCACGGGGGAGTATTTCCCCACTTCCTTTTCTGGACACACAGCCTAGCAAAGGCAAAAGGGCTTCCTTCGACATCAGCTCCAGCCAGTTTGCCAGAGCAAAACCCTGAGAAAAGCAAAGTTGAAAAATCTTGTTTAAACTCACCGGGACAGAGTGGCGTTACGCCCAACAGCATCTGGCCAGGAAGCAGGGAATTACACACTGAGCACCTGTTTGCCATTTTGGATGTTTCCAAAACGAGCCAAACTTGCAGGCCCCTCTGCCATCTCTGGTAACACCTACAAAGCCTCTTCCTCATATCCAGAATGATATCGCCTAGGTTGCCTTCCAGGGATTTTATAGTTTGGGGTTTTTGGATTTAAGTCTTTAATCCATGTTGAGTTGATTTTCGTATATGGGATGAGTTAGGGAGGAGTCCCTCCTCCTCAATTTTTTTTGGAATAGTTTCAGTAGGAATGGCACCACTCTTTTATGTACATCTTGTAGAATTCGGCTGTGAATGCATCCAGTCTTGGGCTTTGGGTTGGTTGGTGGAGGACTATTACTGATTCCATTTCAGAGCTCATTATCAGTCTGTTCAGGGATTCAGTTTCTTCCTGAAATTTTTACTTTTATCAAAAGGAACATAAGCTTTTTCATTTCCAGTTTTTTTAATTATCTGAAAATGTGCAGTTCAAAACTTTGCTCAGAATCTGCATCTTCTTCCTTCTGCAGATACAGGGCGGGTGACTGAGTGTTATCCTCAGTCACCTTCCCTGAGGGTCCTGTATCTGGAGCATGATAACACTTACGCTTGTAGAGTTACCATTGTCTTTATTTTTATTACCAATGTTTACCATTTATCACTCACTTACTATTTGTTGGGCATTGTGCTAAGCATTTCAGTTGTATTATCTTATTAGGTCCTCACAGCCTACCAAGTGAAACAGATACTGTTATTATCTAACTTTATGGAGAGGTAAACTGAGGCTTCCAGCGCTGAAGCAAATTGCCCAAGACTACAGAAATGTAGGTTTCTAAATATCAAAAAACAGGACTTAAGCAAGACATTGTGATTGTTCATTTATGATGCCACTGCCTTTTTTTCTGGCTTCATCCTCTCAGGGGTGACCGTTTGGGAGTTGATGACCTTTGGATCCAAGCCATATGATGGAATCCCTGCCAGTGAGATCTCCTCCATCCTGGAGAAAGGAGAGCGCCTCCCCCAGCCACCCATATGCACCATCGATGTGTACATGATCATGGTCAAATGTGAGTGACCCGTGGGTGGGGCTGTCCACACTGCCTCGCTGGGCCTTGATGACTGCTCTTAGCCAAACAGCTGAGGCCTTTGCATCCCTGGAGAAATGTCATCACATTACTTAAGGCAGACACACAAGTCAAGAAACATCTGTAAATACCCCTTCAAGCATTCTAAAAGGCACTTCCTGACTCACTGGGCAGTGTGACCTGACATCTGCCCACGTTTGCAAGCAAATAAATAAAACTAAAGCCTTCTGCAAGCTATTACACCAAAATATTCTGTTCTCTGAGTTACTCAATGAAATACAGAGTTGCCCTGCATTTTGAAGCCTGTTACCAGAGAGACTGTTTTTAAATGCTTGACAGTGAGTAACAACATGAGACTAATAGAATCAACATTTCTGTTTTGACTTAAACCTTTCAAACCAGTAGATTTATGTGAAGTCCTCTGCAGTGCGGCATTTAAACATTTTCATCCAGATAAGAGTGTGTAATTTGACCCATGCTATTATTCTACCAGATTCACAAGTGCAGTAGGCTCCGAAGGTAGCGTTACGTGTGATAAGCATTTGCAAAAGAAAGTTATATAAGGAATATGACAGAGCCAAGGGAATGTAAATAGTAATGCCTTTCTGAACTCTAGACCACAGAGTTAATCTTTTTTAACTTTCTTGGTTTGGGCTGAGGAAGCTGTGATCCAGAGACGCCATGTGATTTGTCTAAGGTCACATAGCAGTCTGGCCTAAAATAGCTTGACATCCTGCGGATGGAAAATAAATGTGAACCCTCAAGAGGCATGAGGATTTCCAGGCAGTAGCTGTACCTCCAGCTTGTTTAATCTGGGTTTAGATTGCTGTGTAGTCACATGCAGCAGCACGCTTCACAGTGTGTCCTCCGGTGGAAGTTGCTGGCACAACCAGCCCTCTCACTTGCATGTGTGCCCACTGGGTATGTGCTGTACTAGAGGCACTGGGGCACAGGCCCATCCCAACCCCAAATTCTTTAAAGCCTGTTTTTCTACATTGCGTCTGGTTTCCTGCTGGAAGGAATGCTGAGGGTGGGTGTGAGTGAGGCACCCGCAGTCAGCAAATTGCACAGACCCACACTGCTGCATCCCGTCAGGCTACAGCACAGGAAGCTGACCCCAGGAAGAGTGGGCAGAGAAAGGCTCCAGGGCCTTATTGTGAGTCTAATTCAAATCTTCGATACTAGCACACTCTAAACAGCAACCAGTACTAGTTGGCCAAGACAGAGAAGTCTACCGCAAAGACTTGGGCCTTCATCACTTATCTGATGGAAGTGTTGCATCACCAATGCCTTCTTTAAGCAATGCCGTATTTATCATTGCTTCCAGTGTTCTAATTGCACTGTTTGTTCTCATTCCTTCTCCAGGCTGGATGATAGACGCAGACAGTCGCCCAAAGTTCCGTGAGTTGATCATTGAATTCTCCAAAATGGCCCGAGACCCCCAACGCTACCTTGTCATTCAGGTACAAACCTTGGTCTCTCCTTCCATTGTGAATAGTCCCTGTAATGAGCATCCAACGTCACTGTGCTCTGTCATGTGCCAACCGGCCTCCCTGTGTCCCCAGTTGTGTTAATAAACCCTCCAGCACATTAAAGCAACCCTTAGTTAAGGCGCAGGCCACATTGTGACTAAGCAGGGTCCGTGGGTGGTGCCCACCCAAGTCCATCTCCCACTCCCCATCTGAACTCTCCACCTCCCATGCTCATCCTCACCATCCAGCTAGCCAGAGCCTCAGCTGGGTCTAATAGACAAGCATCGTCTATTGCGCTTTGGTGCCAAGCAGACCTGGCTTCACACCCCTGACTCTCCACTCACCCCATCACCCAGGCAGCCAATCCACCTATTTCCTTCCATAACACAGGAACACCAAAACCAAGCTCCCAGGATTGTCTCAAAGATTCAATAAAAAACATTGGAAAATGTACTGCCTAGCACCTCACTACAAGGTACACACTCGAATGCTGTCACTGCTTCCCTTTCTGTTTCCTCAGAAGCTATTTGCATCTCATGAGGGGTGTTACAAGCATCAAAGGATGGTTGATGTTTTATTTTAAGACACTTACATCCCATGACGGGAGGGAGCTATAATTCAGAGAACCAAGGGGGATTTCATTATAACAAAATTGGCAAACACAGAGCCACCGGCTGGCAATAGACCCCTGCTCCTATAGCCGAGAAGTGGAATAGCATCTCTATGGGCCATTCTAATAGCCTCAAAATCTCTGCACCAGGGGGATGAACGAATGCATTTGCCAAGCCCTACAGACTCCAACTTCTACCGCGCCCTGATGGATGAAGAAGACATGGATGACGTGGTGGATGCGGACGAGTACCTCATCCCACAGCAGGGTTTCTTCAGCAGCCCCTCCACGTCACGGACTCCCCTCCTCAGCTCTCTGGTATGAAACCTGCCCTCCCCCTCTTGCTTTGTCTACTCATTTGAACAAATTGACTTTTTTTTCTTCGTTTGAGACAGAGTCTCGCTCTGTTGCCAGGCTGGAGTGCAGTGGCGCGATCTCAGCTCACTGCAACCTCGGCCTCCCGAGTTTAAGCGATTCTCCTGCCTCAGCCTCCTGAGTAGCTGGGGCTACAGATGCACACCACCACGCCCAGCTAATTTTTGTATTTTTAGTAGAAACATGTTTTACCATGTTCTCCAGTATGGTCTCAATCTCTTGACCTCTTGATCCACCTGCCTCGACCTCCCAAAGTGCTGGGATTACAGGCATGAGCCACTGTGCCCAGCCTGAACAAATTGAATTTTAGGGAAAATAACAACCATCTAGTGAAACTTGCATGGAGATGAGGTCAATTTTAACCAAATGGTAAAATCAAAATGAAAATGAATTAAATGTATTAATTATATTGTTGCATTGCAACAACTTGATTCTAAGCCTTTTAGGTCCACTATGGAACAGAATTAAAAAGTAAACCTAGTTGTTCTAAAACTAATGATTAGGACAAAATTAAACAACTTCGCGACATACCCTCCATGAGGCGCACCTCCTGCATTCAGGAAAAGTGGATGAGATATGGGACAAGCATTCCAGGGGCAGCTTCTCTGTTTTATTTTGTGTTTTTCAGAGTGCAAACAGCAACAATTCCACCGTGGCTTGCATTGATAGAAACGGGGTATGTATGAACACCCAAGCCAGAATTTACAGCTCCGCACTACAGCTCTATTATACAAAATGCCTTAACCAAAATAGCCTTAACCCAGATCATCTTGAGTTTTCTTCCTGGGTGGGTTTTTCCTTGCACAGCTGCCGTGCCTCACAGTGCGATTCAAAGCGTGGCTCCCGGACCAGCAGTAGCATCGCCTGGCAGCTTGTTAGAAATGCCATTTTTCAGGCCACTGCCCCAGATTGACCAAATCAGGACCTCTAGGGGTTGTGCCCATAGTCTGTGTTTGAGCCACCTTCCAGGTGATGCAGATGCTACTTTAACTGAAATGTGACTACGTTAAATAAAATATAAAATTCAGTTTCTCACACATGTGAAGTGTCCAGTAGCCACAGGTGGCTAGTGGTGACCGTATTGAAGCACACCACCCTCACTGTGGAAAGTTCTGCTGGACAGCACCCAGCACAGCCCTGGGCCTCTCCCCCACAGCCCAGCCTGCAGCCCAGAGGCACGGGCACCCCCTAGGGTGCAGACTCTCAGGCCTGCCCCACCTACTGATCAAAACCTGCATCTCAAGGAGATCTCAGCTGACTTTTGCACACACTGCAGCTGGAGCCGCCCTGACTGGAGTAACCTTCCCTCGTTTCCTCCTGCAGCTGCAGACCTGTCCCATCAAGGAAGACAGCTTCTTACAGCGATACAGCTCAGACCCCACAAGAGCCTTGACTGAGGACAGCATAGATGACTCCTTCCTCCCAGTGCTTGGTGAGTGGCTTGTGTGGACACAGTCCTGCTCCTCAGCCTCCTCAACCCACACGGCAGCAGCCAGTCTCCACCACCCAGTGCCGAAGCCAGGTGCTTCCTCTAGCATCTCCAGAGGGGGAAACAGGGCCGATTTGCAGACACAGTGAAGGGTGTAAGGAGCAGAGAGACGCATGGCCGAGCCGCACGAGCTCTTGGTCAAGTCTGGGTTGTTTGTTGTAGGTCTGTTCTAAGAGTGAATCGACAAATTTTCTAGATTATGAAGCAAACCACAGACATACGTGTGTGTGTGAGTGTGTACATGATGTGAGTACCTCTGTATGTGTGTGCGTGTGACAGATTTGATCCTTATTCACTCTGCCGGCTCCATTATTGACCTGTGAAGCATATATTTAACTAATTAAATATTTGTTAATATTAATAAATATTAAGCTTTATCTAGATACAACCTGCTAACACACATAGACACACATATACACTTACACATACACACACCCCACACAGACCTCACACATTCACATATACACACACATTCACACACCCTACACCCACATACACACATACCACACATACATGTACACACACCACACATACACACATACACATATTGCACCACACACACACCACATGCACATATGTATGCACACGTACCCACACCACACACACACATGTACACACATGCCACAGACACATACACACCACACATACACATGTACACACATACCACACACACATACACACCACACGTACACCACACACATCCCACACACATACCTACATGTATACCACACACGTACACCAGACACATACCACATACACACACACATATACACACCACATATATAGACACCATATACCACACATACACCACATACACACATGTACACACATCACACATACATACGTACACATATACAACCACACCACACACACATACACTACACATATACACACACACCATGCACATACACAGGCACACATACACACACTGCACATACACATACCACACACCAGACACACATACCATACACACACACCACACGCATACACACCACACATACATGTACAGACTTTTTTTTTTTTAGTGGGCTCAAAATTCCTTTCCAATATTTTGTGGCTTCTGACTCCTCTTGCGTCCTTGGGAAATGCCCTATGCAAAAAGTCCTACATCTCAAGATCTGACTATAGATTTCTTAAAAGGCTATGACAGATCTGATCTCAAATTTAGTTCAACATCTTCTTTGTTTCCTTCACCACAACCTATTACTTTTTTTTTTTGGAGGTTTCAGTGGGACGGGAGAATCACAAGGAATCAGGCGTTCGGAGGAATGTATTGAGTAGAGGTGAGGAACTAGGATGTTGAAAAGTAAAAAAGGAGAGAAGGAGAGGAAGAAAGAGGACGAAAAAGAGGGAGAGAGAACAGGAATATTGCTTCATTCTAAAAATGGGTATTAATAATGGCCGATCAATATTTTGTGTATTTAAAATGGAGAACTCTATAAATATTTATTGAGTTTACTTGTTCCGGCTCTGAGTTGAAGTCCTGGATATCCTTATTAATTTTCTGTCTCGTTGAGTCTAAATCTCGTTATGGGTCTTATGTATCTGGGTATTAAGATCTCTTATTGTTGCATTGATCCTTTTACCGCTATAACTTTGTTGCTTTGAAATCTATTTTATCGAATGTGAGAATTGCAACTCCTGCTTTTTGTTTATTTATTTATTTTTGCTCTCCATTTGGTTGATAAATTTTTCTCCAACCCTTTGTTTTGAGTCTTTGTGTATCTTTGGATACACTGTTACGTTTTGGCTGTATCTTTTGATTTGGGGATTTAGTCGATTTAAATTTAGGGTTACTGCCATTTGATGTTAACTGGCTATTTTATCCATTCGTTGATGTAAATTCTTCTTTATGTCTTATATGACATATACATACACACACTCCTCAAGCAGACTATTCTCTGATAACCTTAAATTTACAAAAGACAGATGTCCATTACCTTGAGAAGTACAGGAAAGAACCCACTTTCCTTTCTAGCAGCAGCAGGAGGGTCCTCCCAAGGCTCCTGCTCCCTGTAGTAAATCACCTTGTTGAAGACATTCACAGGGTTGGGAACCTGGGGCTCCTGCATGGGATGGTGCTTTGCTGATTACTTCACCTCTGATTTCTTTTCACTTTCAGAATACATAAACCAGTCTGTTCCCAAAAGGCCTGCTGGCTCTGTGCAGAATCCTGTCTACCACAATCAGCCCCTGAACCTCGCGCCCAGCAGAGACCCACACTACCAGGACCCCCACAGCACCGCAGTGGGCAACCCCGAGTATCTCAACACTGTGCAGCCCACCTGGGTCAGCAGCGCAGTGGACAGCCCTGACCACTGGATCCAGAAAGCCATCCACCAAATCAGCCTGGATAACCCTGACTACCAGCAGGACTTCCTTCCCAAGGAAGCCAAGCCCAACGGTATATTTAAGGGCCTCACAGCTGAAAATGCAGAATGCCTAAGGGTCGCACCACAAAGCAGTGAATTTATTGGAGCATGACCACAGAGAATAGCACCAATCCTAAAAATCCAGACTCTTTCAGCACCCAGGACCAAGCACAGCAGGTCCTCCATCCCAACCGCTATGCCCGCGTTAGCTGTCAGACCCGCAGACTGGCTTCCCCAGCGTTGACACTGATCAGTCAGGAAGTGCCTCCACTGGGGGCACACTTGGCAAGCAGCAGATACATTCCTTTGTTTTCGAACTGTGAAGCTTTTACAGAAAGGCATCCAGCAGGAAGTTCTGAGCAGAAGTTTATCTTTCAAGGAGGTATATTTGAAAAAAAAAATAAATATGCATCAGGATTTTTCTTGATTGGGGATCTTGGGGTTTTTAATTGTCACTATTGATTTTTACTGCAGTAAGCTCTTCCAACAGGGAAGAAGCTTGCTGGTAGCACTTGCTGCCCTGAGTTCATCCAGGTCCAACTGTAAGCAAGCCACACAGGCCTCAAGTCTCCAGCAGTGACTTGATTCCAGCGGTTCTGCTCATGGCTTCCGCCCCACAACACTAAAGGTCCAAGAATCCCTTCTTGGCCCCAGCAGGCCGCATCCGTACTGTATCAAGTCATGGCAGGTACAGTAGGATAAGCCACTCTGTCCCTTCCTGGGCAAAGAAGAAACAGAGGGGATAGAATTCTTCATTAGACTTACTTTTATAAATATGTCTCCACGGTACTCACTCCCCGCTGGTTGACCAGTGTTTTCCAGTCGTGAGTGTTACACTGACTCGTCTGTCTTCCATTCCGTCATTTTGAAACTCAGTATGCTGCCCCTGTCTTGCTGTCACAAAGTCAGCAAGAGAGGATGACACATCCCATAATCACTCGGATTCCAGCCCACGTTGGATTCATCAGGGTTCAGACCAGCAGCCCACATCTGAGAATGCAGAATACCTAAGGATGGCGCCGCTTTTGTTCTCACAGAAATACATCTCCTAATTTGAGGCTCAGATGAAATGCATCAGGTCCTTTGGGGCATAGATCAGGAAACTGCAAAAATGAAGCTGCTCTGAAATCTCCTGTAGCCATCGCCCCCAACCCCCACAATGAGTTTAGGTTACTCATGGAAGATCATTTTCTCCTTTTACTTCACTTTAAAAGCTTTTTACTCAAAGATGTTCCTTCTGCTCCCCAGACCCCATCCTTGCCCTTTGTCAAACAAAAAGTGTCTCGGCCCTGAGGCAGCTATTCGAGCACTTACAGCTCTGGCCGCAACAGGGTGTTTTACAGGTGCAATGAGTAGCATTAGGAGTAGTGTAGAATTCAGGGGGTAAATAGGAAACCAGTGTTTGAAACTGATAATGCTTTCACAACATTTGTAGATGTTTTACAAGAAGAAAGTTCCTTTCTAAAATAATTTCTCTACAATTGGAAGATTCGGCTAGTTAGGATCCCAGCTTTCCTAATCTGTGTGTGCCTTGTAACCTGACTGGCTAATGGAAGTGCTTTGCAAGCAGCCTTTTAAACTCTTCTGGGCAATATCCACCCGATCCAATTTATCAAGGAAGAAATGGTTCAGAAAATATTTTCATCCTACAGTTATGTTCAGTCACACACACGTACAAAATGTTCCTTTTGCTTTTAAAGTATTTTTTGACTCCCAGATCAGTCAGGGCTCCTACGCTTTTGTTAAAAGAATATTTGATTTTTGTCTCGATGAAAATTACATTCATTTCCACTCCATTATGCTCTCAAATACCCCTAAGTGCCTATACCAGCCTGGTATGGGTATGAAAGATACAAACATAAATAAAACATAGTCCCCGATTCTGAGAAATTCACAGTTTAGCAAAGGAAATGGACTCATACGAACCTTAAAACAACATGACAAACGCCAGACAGGGCCCGTAAGCCAGACACAGAGCACAGAGCAGGTTCCTACCTGAGGAGAGACCTGGAAGGTTCATCAGGAAGGCCTCACAGGAGGATGACCAGTTCTCAGGCACAGGAGAGATGGGAAGTTCAGTTGCAGCAGGGGGGGACCTCGACCAAGGAAACAGCTGTCAGAGGCCTCCACTGCTGGAGTCCATGTAAGGCTGAGGTCAGTTGTCCCAACAACCCACTCCCTCTAAGCTACGGGATGACCTTGGAGCATCCCACAAGTTCCTTAAATGTATCTCGCTGGGGGATTTTGAGCTATCATCTCTGCACGTGCTTAGTGAGGAGACAAAGCCACATTTCTAAGACTCTGAGATTTTATATCATTGTCAGTAAACCACTTTCATTATCCATTCCCCTCAGGACATACAGAAATATTTCAGCCAGAACTGAGAAACAGAAGGACCCACATTCTGCTGTCACTTGTGTGTCAAGAAGCGGAAGATCAGTGAGGCACGTCAGTTGTGAGTCACACTGTTGCAGTAAATCCTAGTATTTTTGTAGTTTGAAACACTAACATAATAAAAGAACAAACGCTATTCTAGCTTTCTTCTCATTCATATTTTAATTTTCCAGTGTAAAGTTTAGTTGCTAAATTCTATTAATTTTAAGATTGTGCTTCCCAAAATAGTTCTCACTTCATCTGTCCAGGGAAGCACAGCAGTCTGCTTGGCGGAAGCCGCAAAGCCACAAGCCTCTCCAAGGATCTGGCCACCATGGTGCGCAGGTCAGGAAAGGAGCTGCCCAAAGTCCCATGATTTTCACCTAACAGCCCTGATAGGTCAGTTCTCAAAGCTTGGACTCCATCCCTAAAGGTCTTCCGGATTGCTAGCCTGGCCTTAACACACTACAGAGAACCTGTCAGCTGTTTCTTCCTCAGTCAGTTCCTGGAAGACCTTTGCAAGGACTTCACCTTCAGATGTGACCTTTGGAAACAGAGGCCACGGGAAAGTAAGGAGCTGGGAGCTCCCATTCACTTTGTGTGTCTTCTTGCATCATCTCCAAGGAGCTACTGTAATTACACCCTGCCGGTCACCTCATGAGGGATCAAAGAAGGGATGAGTCTTCTAAACTCTATTCTCTGTGAGTCTAGGTTGTAAGGAGAAGCACTGTGGACGCATCCTACTGTACTCCAGCTGACGACAACCAAGCTTAGGTGTTTACTGAAAGTTCTTGATTTTGTGATTTACCACCCCCACCTCACAACAGCAGACATAAGGGGACTGTGGATTGCTTAGTGCAAAAGGCACTGGTTCTCCAGTGTGGCTGCCCTTGGGAATCTCCTGGTCCCAACCAGAAGGATTGTGGCTTGATTTTCTCAGGTGCAGCCCAGCCCTAGGGCCTTGTCAGAGCACCCCCTGATTATTGCAACCTTCATCAAAGTTTCCAGAACCACTGGCCTAAAGGAAGGGCCTGGTGGGGGTCTGCTTGCCGCCCGCTGGAGGTCCTTCCAGCCAGTACCACTCTGACTAGGCCTCTGATTGCACCTGTGTGGCTAGAGGCTGGTGGGTGATGGGGACTCGGCACCTCCCCTCAAGCACAAGAGAATCACCTGCGGAGCTTCAGAAGAGGGGGCCTGGAGTCTCTGCAGACCAATTGAACCCAAATCTCAGGGGCGGTCTCAGGATTCTAATGGGTAACCAGGGTTGAAGCCCTTATCTCTAAAGTCTTCAGTTCAAGACTGGGGATCTGTACCAGGGCCTCCAGTCACAGCAGAATAAAAGGCAGGGTAGGGTAGAGGTTCCCATGTGCAATGGAGAGAACAATTTGCAGTCACTGATAAGCCAGACTTGGCTGCTAGTGGCCATTCCAAAATGCTCCAATTCATTGTCATCAACAGATCAGCTGGAAAGGGGCAAATACCCCCCACCTGAGCCTTGAAAAACGCTGCGACCCTCTGCATTCTCTAATTAAGTTACAGAAACCAGTCTCTTCCCTCCTTTGTGAACGAGCTACTACTCCATGTAGGCAGCAGGGGTTGAAATTGCCCTCAACATCTACTCTGCATTTCTTTCTTGTGCTAAGCACACACTTTTATCGCAACATATTATCTGTTCACATTTCCTTGCCTGGGGGCTGTAAAACCTTACAAAACAGAAATCCTTGCCTCTTACCAGCCACACCTGCCATATCATGGGTACAGCTTTGTACTATTCAAGACACAGGATTTTTAAATGTAAATCTATTTTTGTATTTTTTTTTGTGGATATTGTTCTCTTTATGTAGCACTGAACTTTGTACACTATATTTTTAGTAACTTGTTTTTCTACTAAAGGAAGCACAGTTTATTTTATAGAGTAACTTGCAATAGAATCAAAATTGGAAACTGAAATCTTTGTTGAAAAGGGTTAAGTTGAGGCAAAAGGAAGCCCTTTTTTTCTGTCTCTTACAGAAAGGCACAAACTCATTACAGGGCTAAGCTAGGTCGTTGCCACGGTGAAGAAGAGAAGAATCATTTTTATATTTAGGAGGTTTAAAAAGATGATGGAAAGCACATTTAGCTGGGTATGGGGCAGGTTCTGTCGAGGCTGTTGGGGCAATGTTAATGGAAGGACTCCCTGTCTTTCGTCACTGCTAGAAAAATCCGGCTGCATGCCGTACTCTGATCATCTGCCAGTATAACCCTGTACATGTAAGAAAAGCAATAACAGCATTTTGTTGGTTTACCTACAAATGTGACTTCAATGCAAATTATTTTTATATTTGCAATCGTTATGCCTTTATCAATATAAATATCTGGAGAGGCCAAATAGTGTTCAACACACTTTGGTTACTGGATACATTGATGAAACTCACCAACAGTCTTACTGAGCCTGGGCCCAGCCACCCTAGGGAAGGTGCCCAGCCCTGGCAGCCTGACAACACCCAGCGAGCTTTTAAAAAGCGTGAAGCCCAGCTGCACCTCACACCAATTCAATACACATCTCTGGGGCTGACACTCAAGCGTTTGTAGTTTTTAAAGCTCCTGAGGTCATTCCAGTGTGCAGCCGAAGTTGAGAACTACCAGCCTAGGAATTAGCCACAAGAACTTGGACTTGGAGGCAAATTCTGCCAGTGTATGTGATTCTCAGGCCTAGAGAACCAGACACAAAGACCTCCACATCTGTCACTGAGAGTCAAGAACCTGAACAGACTTTCCATGAAGGTTCTCCAAGCCCTAGAAGGGAGAGTGTCTAAACAATAATTGAAAACGAAAGGAAATATAAAACGGATGCCACTTTTCCATTTCCTAGGCTTGCTCTATTAAGGGCCAACTAGTATATAATATTCTTCCTGCTTATGCAGCTGACATTGTTGCCCTTTCTAAAGCAACCAAGTAGCCTTTATTTCCCAGAGTGAAAGAAAACATTGACCTACCAGTTACATTACAGAAGGCAGATTTCAAGAGGATCCAGTAAGTGGTTAGATGGCGTTTATAAAAACAAGAATTCAAGTAGAGGATGCATGCTTTAAGAAACATTTGCTATACATTCTTCACAAATTATACCTGGGATAAAAATTGTAGCAGGCTGTGTTTCTTTCCTTCCTTGTCTGCACTACTGCAGCATGTCCTCTGAGGCTGCAAGTCTGTCCCGTCTGAATTCCCAGCAGAAGTACCAAGAAGCTCCATGCTATCACCTAGCAGATAAAACTACGGGGAACACTTAAACCCGTGACTACATTTCTGGATGGATTTACTCATCTTTAAAAGAAGGAAGGCTAGGCTGGGCACGGTGGCTCACGCCTGTAATCCCAGCACTTTGGGAGGCCAACGAGGGGAGATCACAAGGTCAGGAGTTTGAGACCAGCCTGGTCTCACACGGTGAAACCCCGTCTCTACTAAAAATACAAAAATTAGCTGGGTGTGGTAGCACATGCCTGTAGTCCCAGCTACTCAGGAAGCTGAGGCAGGAGAATCGCTTGAACCCAGGAGGCAGAGGTTGCAGTGAGCCCAGATTGCACCACTGCACTCCAGCCTGGGCGACATCAAGACACCATTTAAGAAAAGAAAAAAAAAAAAAAAAAAAGGAAGCCTATGACCTGATTTGGCCACAAAATAATCTTGCTGTACGATACAATCTCTTGGAAATTAAGAGATCCTATGGATTTGATGACTGGTTTTAGAGGTAACAGTGTAACCAATTAACCACAGACAGCAATAACTTCGTTTTATAAATGTTCAAGCATAAGCTTTAGAGTTTCAACTTATGGTACGTTTTAACCTTGAAAGTTTTGCAATGGTGAAAGCAGTATTTGAACAAATGAAAAGCAGAATTCTCTTTTTTATGGTTTATACTGTTGACCAGAAATGTTGATTGTGCATTGAGTATTAAAAATTAGATGTATATTATTCATTGTTCTTTACTCATGAGTACCTTGTAATAATAATAACATATTCTTTGTTAACAATGCCGTGTTGGTGCTAGTTATTAATCGTATCTAACCAATAGTAGATGTTCTTTCCTGATAACTTTTAAAAAATTAATAAATTATTTTTAGAGCAGTTTTAGGTTCACAGCAAGAAAGTGCTGAGCAGAAAGCGCAGAGAGCCCCCTGCCCCTACCAGCCTCCCTGACCATCCCCGGGAGCCAGAGAACTTTTCAATGGGAAAAAAAATGTAACCCAGTGGGGAGGCTTCCTCCTGTGGCTGGGCCAGCCCCTCAGGCTCTCATATGCATTCCCATTCAAGCTCCTCACACACCAGGGCCTTCCAGTGCCCCCAAGACCTTTCATTCTGAAGATCCCTTCATAGTTTTGTGTGTGTGTGTTTTTTTTTTTCCTGCAGAACCAAGGGGGAATTTCCTGACAGAAGAGGATTTTTCTATGACAAGCCCAGGTTTTGTTTTTTCAGAGCACCAAAATAAATAGAAGTTTGCCCTGGTGCTGCTAAAATCAGAGGAATTAGGTGAGCCCCAGCGTGGGCAAGGGGCCTCCCACTCAGCTGCCCCACTCACGGCCAACCTCCTTTACATGTGGTTGGTCCCACCTCCACTCAGAACTTTCATGGCAGGAGTGCTCACTTCTGTGTTGAATGTCATGAAGCCACTACCCGCACTTCAGGAACAGCCACGGGGGCGGCAGGGAAGGGTTCCAGGGAGACCCAGCTGAGACTGCAGTCAGGCTTCCTTCACAACAGGAGCACCTTCTGAGAAATGAATCATTAGGAGACCTCATCACTGTGTGAGTGTGACAGTGCACTTCACACACCTAGATGGCACAGCCCAGCACTCGCCCAAGTGATACGGCGGAGTCTGTTGTTCCTGGGCTAATGATCTGTGCAGCCTGGGACTGTACTGAATACTGCGGGAAACTGCAGTACAATGGCAAGGATCTGTGTTTATAAACACAGCTAAACATGTAAAAGGCACAGTGAAAACCTGGCATTATAATCTTATGGGCCATGTGAACATCTTTACGTGTCACATTGTTAAAACTCAGGTTCTGTGTCTTAATGCTTAAACAGATAAATGAGTACAGAAAGTTTTCTCAGTTCCAGCTGTAAAAGTAGAGTTGGGGTTTGAACTCAACACCTGAGAAAAAGCAAAACTTTTGATGAAGTAGATGATGCCACCAAAGAGGAGAGAACAACTTCCCAAAACCCAGTGTGAAGGGCCGAGCAGCCAGGAGGCCGGTGGGGATGCACAGGGCAGGGAGGGCAGGCAGGGTGCCTCCCTCAGGCATCAGAGTGGACCAGCACCGGACAGCTCCCCTGGATGGTTCCGGGGCTCCGGTTGGCTCTGACGTTCTTAAAGCCTGTCCCTCCGGTGCTTTTCCTCTACCAGCCGGTGGCTGCACAGTGCCCGGCCTTGTTTCTTTCACACGGGAGAAGTGAGGGCAGAAAGCAGGCTGGCTGTGCCAGCTCACACTACCCCTAATGCTCACAGTGTTGACTCTAATCATTTTCAGGAAGCTTTGCGAATGCCATCCCTCACCTACGCTCAGACATGGGGCTGAGAGTAAACGTTTCCATGTGGAAGCAGGACTTCAGAATAACCAGGTCCATGAGGAATGAGAAAATCTGGAACTTCACAGCATTCTGCTCAGGGCCCAGCATCCCATATGGGAATGAGCCGGCCTCCAGGCCTCCCCTCCACCCCACTGCTCTCTCAGCTCCTGAGCCTCCACACCATGGCTGCCTGGGAACCCCTCAGGCACACACAGGTTTATGATAATCAAAGCCTTCAATTAGGAGGTTTAATCCATATAGAGAAAGGCCAGGTTCCACAGACGAGGCAAGCATGGGGAGCATTCTGGGGTGCTGGCTTTCTGACCCTCAAATGACCCCCCAAGTGGAGGCCATGGCTGGCCATGATCAATGAACAGCCTTCACCTCAGGGCAGACACTGGCACCACTGTCTTGTCACTGACCCTCAGGATCCCAGCTGAAGCTGGGTGCAGATGGGGTTTCAGCTGGAGGAGGTTTCCCCTTTGGGCCAATAATCCTATGAAAGTAATTATACCTGTCTGGGAAAGGAGCAATTTCCCTAGAATGGAGAGTCCACTGCACAGCAGGGAGCTGCTTTTCCTGTGGGCCTTGGGGGTGCCCTTGCAGGGCTCAGGTCCTAACGCTCCAGAAAGGACCTTTAAACACTCAGGTCAAGAAGCAGCAAGATCACATCTGGTATTTGCCCTGGTCTCAAAAACAATAAACAAAGCATGATAGGGAGCCATGGATGGATGTCTGCTATTTAAAAACGCATGCTGGCCAGGCTTGGTGACTAAAGCCTAGAATCCCAGCACTTTGGGAGGCTGAGGCGGGTGGATCACCAGGTCAAGAGATCGAGACCATCCTGGTAAACATGGTGAAACCCCATCTCTACTAAAAATACAAAAAATTAGCTGGGCATGGTGGCGCGTGCCTGTAATCCCAGCTACTCAGGAGGCTGAGGCAGGAGAATTGCCTGAACTCAGGAGGCAGAGGTTGCAGTGAGCCAAGATTGCGCCATTGCATAGCAGCCTGGGTAACAAGAGCGAAACTCCGTCTCAAAAAAAAAAAAAGCATGCCCTGGCCAGTTGGGTGGCCCATGCCTGTGATCCCAGCACTTTGGGAGGCCGAAGTGGGTGGATCACCAGGTCAGGAGATCGAGACCATCCTGGCTAACACAGTGAAACCCCATCTCTACTAAAAATACAAACAAAAATAAATTAGCCTGATGTGGTGGCACATGCCCATGGTCCCAGCTACTCAGGAGGCTGAGGCAGGAGAATCACCAGGTCAGGAGATCGAGACCTGTATTCAGCACAGGAGGTGGAGGTTGCAGTGAACCAAGAGTCCACCACTGAACTCCAGCCTGGGCAACAGAGTGAGACTCTGTCGCAAAAAAAAAAAAAAAAAAAAAACATGCCCTGAAGCATCCTCACCCTTCTGTGCTCATCACCTCTGAGCACCGGGTACATGCACCCTGCAGGGGCCAGCCCTACCCTCACTGCCTTCTGTGGCCTCTGCCTTCCATCTTTCTTCCTACCTGCTCTCGAGGCCAGGAAACCTGGAAACTGGGTTCTAAAATGAAACCTCTTTTTATCCTGCTCCTAACAGTCAACCCCTTCTGAGCCCAAGCAAAGGGCATTCCCAGTCCTCAGCTCCTCGCCCCTGTATAGCTCCAAAGTGAGCCTGCACTTCCCACCCCTCGGTTCTCACTTGTCACTTAATCCTGCCCCACAATAGGCCACCCATCAGCTGCAGCTTGAGAATCCAGGTGTGCACAATGAAGGATCTGAACAGGCCCCCAGCCCGAGGCCACTCTGCAAGGACTCCCCACATTCCCAGCACCTGAGCACTGTCCAGAAGAAAGAGGGGCAGACCCCAGATAGGTGACTCTGTGCCTTTCTGCCCACCCCTGGCCAGAGCATACGTTTATATCCAGGGAAAGGGTATAACCCGCAGATGGGGAAGTGGGACTGGGGAGGGCAGGGGCTCTGGAGTCCAGGGTCCTCATCACTTAGGACTGAAGACAGCACTGCCCAGGCAAATGGCACCTGAAAACCCAACGGGAAGGGGGAGGCCCAAAGCCTCAGGCGCCTAAAATCCCATTCACTTTTCTGAAGTGCATTGTCCTGTATTTGAACCAGTGATGCCATCAAAACCTCCAGCGCATCTCTATCTTGGAGGGAGTGGAGGTGGGGGCAGGGAGAGCCATCTCCCTCTCACTCCAGATGGCTTCGGGCCATCCCTTACGACTATTTTCATTCTAAAGAGGTTGCTCCTCTTGCCCTTTCAGCTTCTCCAGACCCCTCTCCTTCCATCTTTCTCCCTTATATAATCTAACCTCTCCTGAGCCTAAGCAGAAATGCGGTGATAAACCAACAAGCTATTCAGGAGCTGACACGTTTCCCTCTGCACTTGCACTTTGCCTGGGCTGACTGGCTTCTCAAGGGCAAGTCCAAGGGAACACCGGCCAGTGCCATACACAGATTTGAGGGGTCGGGAAAAAGAGACGTGAAATGTGGAGGAGACAGCATTTCTCCTGTAGATAAATGACACAGAAGACATTGGAAGGGCAAGGCCCATTGCTGAAACCATTTACCAGGTCCAAATGGCTTTGGAGCATCTTTGAAAACTGTCAAAGAACAGCTAATTTTTGTATTAAATTGTTTCATAACACAGAAAAAGACAGGAAGCTTCTCAACTAATTCTACAATGTTAAAATAGTACTGAAAATCAGAGAGATACTGCCAAAAGAAAACTATAGCTTTATTTATGAATGTAGATG